CTGGCTGATATCCAAACAGGGGATGGTCCAGAGATGTCACTGCCTTGGTCCTTTCACTATTGGTTGCTACTTCCTGGTGGATGTCAGGTGGTGCAATACCAGCTAAACAGTGTAATTTCTCCAGTGGTGTAGGGCGCAGACACCTCATGATAATTTGGCATGTCTCATTAAGAGCTACATCCACTGTTTTAGCATGGTGAGATGTATTCCACACTGGGCATGCATACTCAGCAGCAGAGTAGCATAGCGCAAGGGCAGATGTCTTCACTGTATCTGGTTGTAATCCCCAGGTTGTGCCAGTCAGCTGTCGTATTTCTAGCACCCATGTTTTGCTTGATATTCATGCAGTTCTTCTTGTTGGTCAGAGAATGGTCTAGGGTAACTCCCAGGTATTTGGGTGTACTGCAGTGTGCTGCAATGGGATTCCTTCCCAGGTAATCCTCAGAGCTCGAGATGCTTGTCTGTTCTTAAGATGATAAGGACATGTCTGTGTTTTAGATGGATTAGGAATCAGCTGGTTTTCCCTACCAGGTTGGCACTTGTCCAAGAAACAGACAACATTGTCTCCTGCTTTATTAAATATTTCTCAGAGAACATTCGTTCACAAGTTCTCAGTTAAGAAACCTATAAAATACAGTCCTACCATCTGGTTTTTCTCTAGGAATCTGGAGAACTGGATTTTGTTGCCTCCCTTCCTCTGAAATAAACAATAATAGTAGTAGAAGTTATAAACATTTTAAAACAATTAGGCATCTATATTCAGTAAGTGAAAATATGAAGTAAAAGGTGAGATGGAAATTAGTCCCGCAGCTAAAGCAAGTGAATAACATTGAATCTAAATGATCTCCTAAATCTGTTGTGTTTTCTATGAAGTATGCATATTGATCAAAAGTAACAGAGTTATCAATGGAATGTGCAAAACAATGCAAATATTTGAATTTGCATTAGAGAGTCTGACACTTCCAGATTTGCTTGCTGTTGATAAATAAAATTCCAAACGCATTCAGTATAACAATGAAGATGCTTGGAATTTGTATAATGAGTCTTCCCAATGCTTTAAATCTCGGATGACTTGCCTGTGGTTTACACAGGTGGAACGTGGGCTGAATCCACACACACACACCCTAATTATTTCCTCATATGCACAGCACATCTATCTACCAGCTTAATATTTTCCCTTCTTTTTTGTAGCTCAACAGATAATCAAAACTAAAGCTGTATTCTGACAAAATATTCCAAATTTAATAAATGTGTGTCTGCTCCCATTTTTAATAGATGGCAGGAGGATTGTACATGAATAATGTGTGTAATATGGTTGTTGGTTGACTTTCCTTTCACATCCCAGAGAATGAGAAGAACATCAGTTCAATTTGAAGGCAATTTCCCACCAAGATAATCTCCTCATTGGTGCAAATGTAAAACTAAGCATATTGGAGACATAAATATGAAACATTGACAGGAGGGGAATACCCTCAGTTAAGGCACATTATGTCTGCTGTCCACCAAGACATGAAAGATAACAAAAGCAAAAGGAAGGGTGGGTTCCTACTATGTACTATATTCTGCAAATCTCAAAACAAAGCCGTTTGCTATTTTTACAGCCATCTTTCTGCAACTACATATTATGGAACAGTTGAATTATTCCTACATTATTAATGCCCCATTAATGTTACAGAGGCCTTGGAATGTGATGACTAAGAATTAATTATTTTGGACTCACCTTGATCCCGTGTCTCTCATTAGGTGAAGGGTGGCATTAAAGAGATACAGAGGTCATTGTGACTGAATAATTTTTGAACATGCAAGATTCTTTATAAACTAATATATGAATTAGTGTAGAAACCAGTTCAGATCAGAGGAGGGAACTGCTTGGTCCTCCAGATGCTCTTCATATACTATATATACTCAAGTATAAGCCGACCCGAATATAATCCGAGACACCTAATTTTACCACAAAAAACTGGGGAAACATATAGACTCAAGTATAAGCCAAAGGTTTAAAATGCAGCAGCTACTGGTGAATTTCAAAATAAAAATAGATACCAATAAAATTACATTAATTGAGACATCAGTAGGTTAAATGTTTTTGAATAAGATAAGACTGGTCAACTCTGATTAAACCATTATTCTAACCTTCTTCAATGTAGATGTGCTTATGCATCCTTCCAATAATAATAGAGAGTAAAATAATAAATGTAATAATAATAATCCAGACTGTAGTAGTAGCAGTAATAATAATAATAATAATAATAATAATAATAGAGTGAAATAATGGAAATGTAATAGTACCAGTAATAATAGAGTAAAATAATAAATGTAGTAATAATAATAGAGTAAAATATTAAATGTAATAAAAATAAAAATAATAACAGAGTAAAATAATAAATAACCTTGATTCAAGTACAAGCTGAGGGGGACTTTTTTAGCCTAAAAAGGGCTGAAAAACTAGGCTTATACTCAAGTATATACAGTAATTGCTTGAGTCGCCTGAGGGCTGAGAAAAGTGGTATATAAATCAAGTAAATAAATAAATAAAATGAAGTAATTCTAGCAGCCATAGCCAGTAACACCCAGCAGCCTTCACTAACATAACCAGTTGTGAGGGATACTAAGACCTGCAATTCAACATTTGGGGGATCACACAATTCCCATATCTGCCTACATTCATACACTGGGTTCAACTGTTTCTCCTCTTGGAGTAAGCTACAGCAGCTAACAAATAATACTCTGAAACCAAAATGTGTGAAATCCATGATATATTTTAAGCCTACATTGTTCAAATAATTTCATTCACAACTGCTATCAACCCTACCAAACATGAGCAGTGGTAATGGATGTAGTCCAAAACATCTGGATACCATATATGAGAGAAAATGATGCTCATATTATTTGAGGACACAGAAATGCTGGACCACTCTAACAACTACCATGTCAGACTACACAGAGAAGCAACTGAAATCTACAAGCATGTGGACAATTTCAACAGAAAGGAGAAAACCATGAAAATGAACGAAAGCTGGCAACCAGTATTTAAAAATAAAATAAAATCATGACAATAAATAAAAAGCAACTCAAAAAACAGGGGAATTCCAGACAAGAATCAGCTAACACCTCCCAACAAAGAATCCCCCAGGCAGCAACCATCCAGGCTTTGAAGCTGTGAGTCATTAAATACTAATCAAGATGGCCATTTGCAACATTCACACTTGCCTCAAACAGACAAAAGTTCTTTCCCCCACCCTGGACATTCGAAAGATATATAAACCTCACTTACTTAGTGTCCAACAGACCTCACAACCTCTGGGGAAGCCTGCCATCGATGTGGACAAAACATCAGGAGAGAATGCTTCTGGAGCATGGCCAGACAGCCTAGAAAACTCCCAGCAGCCCAGTAATTCCAGCCATGAAAGCTTTTGACAACACATGCTCATTGAAGTTGCCAAACTGAGGAAGTCTTTGAAGGATGTTTTTCAGGATTGGAAAGACTATGAACATGAATCCACACCTAGGCATTCCCTTTGCCATTGCTTGGTCAGTGTTTCTAAATAGATGCTTGTCATATGCAATGAGTCCTTTTTCCTTCATTATAAAAGTCAAAACTATGATGTTGCGATTAGCAATGCTAATGCGCCCACCATTATTTTTGCCATAATGGCAGACAAATACAGATGCTGGGGCGTGGCTGGTGCGTGGGCGGGGGGGGGGAATGGGGTGGAACTTCACATTAAATTTTGAGTAGGTCTGGCAGATCCTAAAATGCTCCTAATTCCAACTCTACAAACCAGCAGTAAGCTAAACCAAACCCTGCTTTACTCCTAGTTCAAAGAAACACATTCAAATCTCTCAGAGAATTGCTGTGAATGGAAGTGAAGGTGACCTTGTGAAAAGTCATGAACTTTGAAAAACAAGTTTGAATAGTTTTTTTCAGAGCAGATCAAAACACTTCAGAAACATCTTACACTTATTCTCTCAAGTGATAAATGTCTGATGTCTGAGTGGTGACTTCCTGGAAATTCAGGTTATCAGCAATTTCATCAACAGCAATCTGGTTACTAATTGTTAAAACATCTCTGATGATGATATGATGATGACGATGATGATGCTGATGATGATGATGATACTTTATTTGTATACTGCCCTATCTCCCCTAGGGGACTCAGAGCGGTTTCCACATATGCAAAATAATACAAAAACATAAAATATAAAACAAAAACATAGTCATAAACTGATAGCACAAGATATACATTAAAATCGTTTAAAACCAGTTCCGCTCTCTCTCCTTCATGCAAGGTAAGCTGCCAGGAGCAAAGATTTCAATAAGGGGCCTGGACTATTTGGAATGGGCTGGACCAAGGAGAAGGGTAAAATGGGGTTGGCTGAATACTATAATACATAGTTAAGAAGACCATGATGAACCTTATTTGTAATGGATCACAAATGCATTTTTATGAAGGTCTTGTGGACCACTGGTGGTTCACGAACCACAGATTGGGAAAAACTGTGCTAAAACAAAGCTTTCTGATATAATTACTGGCTAAGAGAAATGTTGATCCTTCTACATCACACAGAGTCTTTAGCGAAGACTACACTAAATGATTCTGCTTTAACACAACTGTGTGTTCAGACATCAAAGTAAGTCAAGAATCAATAAATTATGTTAAAGAAGGAAATAATGGAATGTAATAATGTATATAAGGGAGAGATAGAGAGTACACATAGGTGATGCAGAGAACAGGAGAAATAAACCTGTGAATATAAGGCTATGATGAGGTAATGGCAGCAGCAGAGACATATGATAGCACTGAGCATCTTTAGTGTGATTCTGTTGACTTAGAGCCAAACACCTAACTGTGCTAAGAAACAGGTGTGTTATGCACTCCAACAGTACGAAATCTCAACACTGATCACTATAGAAAGACTGTTTTCAGGAGAGGATATTCAATTATAGAACAGACTAACAATGATGTACAAACACATTTTAGGAAGCTTAATGCCGTTTTTGTTGTTTTTATTGAAAATCAGTCCCAGAGGGTTGAAATTCTGAACAGAGGATAAGTAAGATGGGAGAACACCACTGGGACATCACAAGGGCAAAGAAACTGGAAAAACAATTTTGAGCTGGACAACATCAGCAGGAAATGACTCGAGCATCCTTTCCATCCTAACCCAAGCTTTCCATTTTTTTTTAATTTTAAAAATGGTTAGGCCTTGTTACACATATTGTTCAGTGAGGGGGGAGTCTCTAGGAGAGATGATGTCCAGGTTTGCGACAGATGGGCACCTGACCAGCTGAATCCTGCTGCTTGTCTTAGTGAATTCATCTTTATCTTCCTGCCTAAAAGGAAGCTCATAAGGTTTCGTTGTCTTGTGCAGCTTCTCTAATCGCCACTTCATTACTTGCTTGAAGTGCTCTTCTGCCAGGTTTTGTTTCTGTTTGAGCTCTAATTCCAAGAGTTTTTCTTCTAGCTTAAGCTGGAGCAGCAATTCCTTTTCCCACTATTGTAAGACAACAACAATATTGACACAAGGTTATTTCATTCAAGAGTTTAATAAATGTTTTTAAAAACATGCTGGTATGTTGACTCTGCAGGAAATACAAAACCTGAAAACAGATTGAGAAAATTGACATAGCCTGGACTAGTGGGCTACAAATGTTTTTGACAAGGCTGAGTAATGTACACCTGACCTAATAGTTTTGTCCTCTAAGGTGCTACTGAATAGGTTGCAGGTTCTTCAAATGATACTTACAAACTCAGTTTTCTCTGTTTAAAAGTATATGTCCGGCATGTTATAGTGTTAACTAACAATTCTCTCTCTCGCTCTCTCTCTCTCAAACACACACAAACAAACACATTCATGAAGGGCTCTTGACCATTCCAGCTAGCTAGGAGGCTCAGCTGATGCAGAGGAATTGTCATGCTTCCCAGTATGACAGAATGTGTTATCTGAAAGTAAAATACCAAAAGACATGAGGTCAAGAAGCAGCCAGCTTTCATGCCATCAGCATTACAAAAGGGAAGCAACACAGTCACCAGCCATGACCTAGCAAACACCATATGCATACAAATCATATGCAGGTTACATAAATTTTATGCAAATTAAAATGTGTAAATCATCTGCTACCCTCTAACTCATCATGCAATTCCACAGTGGCTTTCGGTATTGAACTTATTCTTCTTCAAGCCTTTTTATTTTTCAAACCAGAAACATGTTACTGTGCAGAGAGAAAGCAAAGTTCCACTGAGAAATATATTTTATTTTGACATTGCCCTGCCCAATGCTTAAACAGACAAAAGACCATCCTATGATTTGGGAATCTCATTCAACTCAATAACATATTATTCAATTTTGAAAGTAGCATTTTTGAATGATAGCAGAGCATTAGGTGAAAAAAAATAATTACAGGTGATAGGTACAAAAGTTCAGGGAGATATTACTTCACAAATTTGATTTTTGAAAGGGAGTAACAGTGCATTTCACATTAATCCCCTCATCAGTTTTCTGGCACAAACTATAATTAGTAATAATCTGAATTGCTCTTTTCTATACAAAAACATTTTCACTTTTACCTCAATTACTCCCAGAACTTTGTGAGGAAATGAGAGGCACTTACAAAGCACTAAGAATTAGTGACTTGAATTTAACACAATAACCTCAAGTGCTAGAACAAACTATGGAAAACAGCTTTTCTTGATGAAATTAATGTGTAACCTGCAAACTTTACTCAAAAATAGGAATGGGTTTTTTTCAGCAACAACTTCCAGAATTAACCAGAACCCACATAACCAGTTCACAAACTGGCTAGAAAGGACATGGGCAAACTTTGGCTCTCCAGGTGTTTTGAACTTCGACTCCCACAATTCCTAACAGCTGGTAGGAGATCAACCAATCAGCTTCATAAAAGACACTACAAATGGAGCAATGGGGAGACCCAAGAGAGTGTGAGGATCAAAGAGGAAAAGGGGAGAGCATGTACACATCCTGAAAAGTGATAACAGGTCAGATAGTTTGTGAGTTGAGAATAAGATAGAAGGGAGTAAAAGGGAAGAAAAACAACACCAGTCCAGGGTTGGGAAAGAAAGAAGGAGTGCAGTAGTTTTGCAAGGAAGCTGTTGAGGAAGGGAATCTACCAGTAACCAGAGCTTAGCCAAAGTTTTCTCATGTTACTCTGGGGATTCTCCACTGCACTATGATTTCCAATTCAAGCTAGGTTTTCAACACAAGTACATGTATGAAATAAAGTACAATCTTTTAAAAATACAATTTCAACTGTACAAATATTATGCAGGGACTAAAAATGTTGCAGTAAAGGAGAAGTTCATATCTCTAGTTCTGAGCCTCAACAACATCATTATTGCATTAATAGAGGCCCTGAAGGGATAGCCTTATGTGTAGAAACTGCAGCTCAGAGTAAAACAGAAATAATAAATGTGTTGTTGTTTACGAAAGAAGAAGTGCAGCTTAAGTTTCGAAAGGAGGATAAAGGAGAACAGATCTGGAAATAATGGCCACATAAAAAGAAGTGATAAGACTTTGAAGTACAAGGACAGGAGCTTCAAATTCAAAAAGCTGTTTGGGAGAGGTGATTGATTTTATGGGATGCCCCTGATTTCATTGTGGACTGGTTAATCTTAAATAATAAAATGTTCTCCTTCTAACAAAGCATTAAAGTTAACCAGTAGCTCCTGGGCATTTTTCCCAGTTGCCATTATTATCAGCTGACAGAACTTCCTTGAATGATAAAATGTATCTCAATGCACTTAGTATTTTGCTGCCTCCAGAGTCAGAACTCAATGGTGAATTTATTCTAAAAGCTTGCTTAATGTATTGGAAACAGTATATTCCTTTCACTCCCAGAACTGGCTCAATAACAACAGATTTTAAGAACTTTTCAAAATACAGAATACTCTGGGTATTCAGAACATGGCAAGAGAAAGTCTCAAATCCCTAGTGTTTGTGGAACACAACCAAGTTGTATGTGTGGCTATTACTATTAATAAGGATGTTGATAGCACTTTCCAATGCTTGTCTGTATCTCAGTGCTATGCCGAAGGTAAACAACTTGCCCTACACAAACCAGTGAGCTAGCTTCAAAGATGAGTGGGGATTTGAAGATTTTCTTTTTCCACAACAAAATCTTCAGTCTCAAAACATTAAAGTCTGAAAGAAAAATGCTTTAAAACATGCTAGTTTTAAAGGAGTGTACTACCTTCCATTTGATTGTTTCTGGGACTGCCAGCTTAAAATCTCCAAGGGAAAAAGACAGTGAAAGTATTCAATACAGTGGAGGGAGAAGAAGGCTGAATCAAGGGTGGGAATTACATGCTCTGGAATGCTGATTTCAGGCCTGGTTCTTTTCTTTTTTTTTTTAGCACCCCATATTTCTTCCCCTCCTCAAATCCTCACATCATGTTTTTTTCCCCAAGTCTTTTGGGGCACCTCTGTACTTCTTATCCCCCACCAAACTCAATGGGCCTGAAAACTCCTGAATCAACAAGGTTACACACATATTTAAATAACCCTGCTCACCCCCACATGCCACCCCTCCCAAAAAAAAAGTCCCACAAACAAACAAAAATAGCAAATAATGGGAGGGTTTTGTGATTTTCCCCTGGTCCTCTGATGGCCTAGTGGATTAAACCACTAATCTGCTGAACTTGCTGACCAAAAGGTTGGTGGTTCGAATCTGGGGAGCGGGGTGAGCTCCTCCTGGTAGGCCTAGCTTCTGCAAACCTAGCAGTTCAAAAAAATGCAAATGTGAGTAGATCAATAGGTACTGTCTTGGTGGGAAGGTAACAGCTCTAAATGCAGTCATGCTGGCCACATAACCTTGGAGGTGCCCATGGACAATTCTGGCTCTTCGGCTTAGAAATGGAGATGAGCACCACCCCCCAGAGTTGGACATGACTAGACTTAATGTCAGGGGAAACCTTTGCCTTTATCTTTACTTTGTGATTTTCAGGCAACTTCCGTTTTTAGTCTACAATTCACATAACTTCTCATTATTTGCTGCAGACTTTCATTGTCTGTTTCTTTTCACTAATATTTTTGTCATCTCAGTCACATATGTCACAGTTTTTGTATGAGAAATACTGGAGGGTATGAAAGTGTTCCTTTCATGACCACTAAAACCTGCTGAAATTTCCTATTTTGTATAACCTTTTAAGGGACAAGAGCACTGTCTCTTGTATCACCTGGCAACACTAGAGGCCAGTCATTTTCCATCCTATTGTGCCAGGCACTGGTCCCATACTTGTATTCATTGGCTAGAACTCCAGTTCTTGCCCACTTCATCCAGAACCTCTTCGCAGATCAGCAGCTAATAGACTGTGAATTGGTATGAGTACAAGGATCATCACTTTCAGTAGATCTTTTCTAAACTATCTAGAAGACTCATACAGATGGACAGGTAGAAATGGGAATTTTAAATAAAAAAACATTTGTTTTGCACCCACAGGCATTCACTGCCATGTTTTCAATCAGTCATGGTCATACTCATACACTCTTTTCTCCCTTTGCAACAAAAGGAAGATGCAAGGGCTTTCTTCAGAGCTGTTATCAATGAAGGTCCATGGGGGTCCTCTTGTATTAGCCCCATCTCAAGCATTTGTAAAAGAAGGAGGGGGGGGGGGGGCCTGGGAAACGAAAAATTCACTGTTGAACCTGAACTCCCTGTCCTCTGCTCTAGAGCACTTTAGCATTTTTCAGCAATGATGCAGCACAAAATCCATTTTGAATTGTCATGGAAGGATACAGAACGGGAGCTTGAAGAAGTTATGTTTGAGAAACGCAAATCCCCAAATCCTCCCCAACCATAGTGCCAACCAACCATGCTGCCTGAGGTATTCCCAGAATAAAAATTCAAAAAAGTAATTTCATCAAGCTTTATACAGGACAACCCAATGATTTGGTTCCAGTCCTTAGAAATATACATAGAAGATATCAGGTCTTCATCGGATGGAGTCATGCCTCAGCCAATGTATAATTTTACAATATGGAAGTATATGCCCCGTAATTCAGAAAAATAATTAAAGGGTTAGTAAAATCTATTTGTTGATAGCACCAAACTGTAGATTTCGAATATATAACATTAGATTTGTACAAGTATTATTTTAATGTCTTACCTGAACCTCAACAATTCTCCTTAGCTCCATATCTATGCGAGTAAAATAATCAGGATAGGGAGATTTGGGTATTCCAGCTTGCAAAAGTTCTTCCCTTAAGGAAAAAAGAGAGAGAGAGAGAGAGAGAGAGAGAGAGAGATCTATTATCCAACCTTGGAATTTCAGATTTCCATTCTGGAATTGCAAATTTCCATTCTGGAATTGTAGATTTCCATTTCCATTTGAAGATCACAGATTTCCATTCTAATCGAAATGATAAATGTCTAAACCTCTCAAAATGTGTAAATAAATTCCTGCAAATACATACAGGGACCATATAATCTGTGAATAGTTCCATTATTGTTGGCGCTTTGGGTTTTTTTCCCCCCCAACTGGACAAAATACACTGCTGTTTCACTATTTTTTCCCAAATGTATTGGTGCTTTGAACTGTATGCCTTGGTTAAACACATGAATGAAGCATGTTTAACTACTATATCCTCCTGAGATGAACATTTTTCTATGTGCACTTTTCAAATGTGCACATATTTTGATGCTTCCACATTCATCCATGAAAATGTAGATTGTACAACACAAATTGCAAGAAAAAATCCATGTGGACAGATTCTTCACCTGCATCACTAATAGGGCCGGCCCTAGGAACACTGCTGATTACCTGAGTGGGAAGGCAAAATCATAAAGCAGGAAATAGCTTTATGATTATCCTGATATTATAATAATAATAATAATAATAATAATAATAATAATACTATTATGATATCTACTCACTAAAGTTTTAAAGGAAAGTCTTGTTCATTTCAAGAGCCATTTAGCTTGTACACCACACCCTCCAAATGCTCCGATTTGGCAGGAACACTCGCAATTAATCCTCTGTCCTCCCACTTTTTCAACTCCTTTGAAAATATCCTGGTTTAATCTCTGCCCTCTTTTGTCCTTCAGTTGCTGCAATCTGAGTTCAATTTGCAAAAGTAGTTTGCATTCAACTCAGGAGGGAGAAGGGAAGAGGAGGGGCAAAACTGATTCCTTCCAAGAAGACTCAGGCAGAAGGAAACTACTGCAGTGTCTCCTAGCTTGTGTGTTCTTCCTCATTGGTAATGTTTACCATCTTGATGACAAATATCCCACTTTTCACTTCTGAAGTGTTGGAGGAAATGGCCCAAAATGCTGGGGAGAAGGAGTGCTTGAAGACGTCCCTTACAAAGAACAAATCAAATCACATTTTTCTCCTTCCACCTATGGGAATATCCAGTTTGCACAGGAACATTCAGTGAATTGGTCTCATATCCACAAATGGAAAGAGTCTTTTACTTACAGGTCTATATACAACCCCTTGACTCCAAGGATTATAATTATGATTGTATGGCTATTGCAGCTGTTAGCCCTGTATTTTCAAACAAAATCATAGAGACTCCATGAACAATCTTTTTTAAAGGCCACTTTACCGTTTGACATTCAAGCAAAACTTTCCTTACAGCAAGACAAAACTGTGGTGTAAACATTCATCTTACCACTGACTTTGTCTGATAGGCCTTCCGATCAGTGTGTCCTCTGGTTCTGACTTACCAGTTTGTTCACTGCTTTTCAGACTCTTAGTTTGTGTCACTGAACTCTAAATTTGCTGCACTATCATTTTGGCAGAAAAAAAGCATTTGAAACACTTAGAAGGATTTTCCCTCCATTGGCATTGATTTTGTAGCACCCGGAGTGCCATTGGTAGCTTGGTAAGTGTACACACAAAATTGTTTTGAAATAATTTCAAATGACCCAGTGCATCATGACCCAGGAGGCGAAATAGGGAAAAATTGCAGTATTTCAAGAGAAGCAGAAAATAGACATTGTTCCTCTAATCAAACCCTCTTCTAGACTTCCATTCATAAGGATTCATTTTGAATCAAAATTGAAACTTTTCCTGAAGATTCCAAGAAACAACCCCACTGTTAATAATGATGATAGGGGATATAGCACTTGCTCTTCCATACTAACCAATAATATATTGGAAATCTGATTCTTGGCCAGAAGAAACAAAAAAAAACAGGAAGAAAATATCTTCTGTATTTGCTCAGTATTTCTGCAATTAAGCACAGGAAAGCAATGAAGTTTCATCAGTGCTTTCTGTGCTTTCCTTATAAAGGCCTAGAAGGAAATAGTACCACAGCCCTACTTATTCCTCACTACATTTCAGCTTTGTTCAAAGCTTGGAATAGTTCCCTTTTTGACATGCAACTTCTTGACTTGCTCAGGTGCAGTTGGTTAAACTCTTGTGCCGGCAGGACTGCTGACCAATAGGTCAGTGATTCGAATCCGGGGAAAGTGGGTTGTGCTCCCTATGTCAGCTCCAGCTCCTCTTGCTGGGACATAAGAGAAGCCTCCCACAAGGATGGCAAAGAACATCAAACATCCGGGCATCCTCTGGATAATGTCCTTGCAGACGGCCAATTCTCTCACACCAGAAGCAACTTGCAGTTTCTCAAGCTGCTCCTGACACAAGAAAAAAAAAGGCAACATGCTCCAAAGCAAGGCCTGGCCCTATTTGTTACATAAACAAGACATGTTAAGAAGGAGAGAAAGGATAAACCCATAAGCTCAGCCCAATATTTTGGCTGCCTACCACAAACAGGGCAATCTTTTAAAAAGAAAGGCTCTGTTTGTTTGTTGCCGCTTTCCCATGATTTAGAAATTTAGAAGAAGCTTTTTCCCAGTTTCAAAAAGCTGCCGCTCACAGGAAAAGACAATAGTGAGGATATGTGTAAATCTAGTACCTTCCTTCACATTTCCTATACTTTGCCCATATTGTATATTTATAGCGAACTAGCCGTTCCCTGCCATGCATTGCTGTGGCCTATAGTAAGAATTTTTGAAGTAGAGGTAGCTATCTGGATTATTGTGAAAGAGAGGTACTACCGATTCCTTGCCTCCTTTTTCTTCCCCTTCCTCTTTCTCTCCTTTCTTCCATCTCTACCACTTTCTTTCATTCCTTCCTTCACTCTTTGGTTCCATCTTTCCTTCCCTCTTTTCTTCCTCCCCCCCCCCCTTTCTCTCCTTATTTCTTTGTCTCATTCCCTCCCTGTTTCCTTCCTTCCTTTACTTTTTATTTCCTTTTCTCCTTCCTTCCTTCTTTACCTCTTTCCTGCCTTTCCTCCCCTCTTTCTTTCCTTTCTACTTTCTCTTCCTCGTCCAGGGAAGTCATGCTATCCCCACCCCCTCCACCTTTGTTTCTTTGTATTATATTTTGCTGTATTGTATTTTTGGGCTTAGCTTCATGTTTGTGGCCTTGAGTCCCCTTTGGGGAGATGGTGGTGGGGTAAAGGATATTATTATTATTATTATTATTATTATTATTATTATTATTATTATTATGCCTTGGTCAGACCACACCTGGAATATTGTGTCCAGTTCTGGGCACCGTAATTGAAAGGAGATGTTGACAGATTGGAATGTGTCCAAGGGAGGGCAACTAAAAGGGTCAAGTGTCTGGAGAACAAGCCCTTTGAGAAGCGGCTTGAAGAGCTGGGCATGTTTAGGCTGATGAAGAGAATGTTGAGAGGAGACATGATAGCCATGTATAAATATGAGAGGGGAATTCAAAGAGAGGAGGGAGCAAGTTTGTTTTCTGCTGCCCTGGAGACTAGGATGCGGAACAATGGCTTCAAGCTACAGGAAAGGAGATTCCACCTGAACATTAAGAAGAACTTCCTGACTGTGAGAGCTGTTCAGCAGTGGAACTCTCTGCCCTGGAGTGTTGTGGAGGCTCCTTCTTTGGAGGCTTTTAAGCAGAGGTTGGATGATCATCTGTCAGGGGTGGTTTAAATCTGATTTTCCTGATTCTTAGCTGGGGGTTGGACTAGATGGCCCATGAGTCTCTTCCAACTCTATGATTCTAGGATACACATAGTGTCATGTGTTACACACACCAGCTGCAATGCCGGTTTGCCTGTCTCATGCTTTACTAGTCTTCTATATGTTTTGAATATGTACTATTTTATTCTGAAAAGCTGCCATAGATCACCAAAGGATTCCTGACTTCTTCTTTTGTTTGTAACCAGATTTCCCCCTACACACACGTTTGAGCTTTATTTTTCATATATTTATTGTTCTTTTCCAAATACAATCACTCTAATGATCTTAATTACAATCAATGGTGTGTATTATACTTCTAGACTTTCTCCTCATTTCTGGATTTAGACGCTTGATTGTTTCAGCTGGGCTCGTGCCTGTAAATTAATGCTTCCCCGAGTTTCTCTTGATTGCTTCTTGCAACTGGATCTCACTGTATGAGGGTGCTTTTCATTGTTGTTGTTTTTTTGTAATACCAAGAGATTGCTGAATTGTAATTTTTTTAATTTCAAGCAAGAACTTCATATTGACTTCCTGCTAGGCTGGTAATTGAAGTCATTTTATTTATGTTAAAACTGTCAAATAATAACTCTTTCAATCTGTACTATAGTGCTTTGCACACACAGTATGATGCTAATGGACATTAAACAATATGGGGGTGATGAGGCCTGACACTGCCTAATGTAAAGGGATACATGCTTCGGTACAAATATTGGGATTTTTCAAAAAGAAAAACAAGTTCTACTGTTTGCTTTAAGTGGACAGAAGCAGATAGGTGCAAAGCCTTTAAATCTTTTAAATGTATTTATTTATTTTGTCAATGGGCCTTGTATAAAATGACACAAAAAGCAATAAGCCTTTGAAACATTGCCAACTTTTTCTGCCATTTCCCGCATAGTCTACCACTGGGAAATGTTATTTAGGTCGCCATACCTAACATCACTAGCACTGTCATGTCTACCTCAGCCTTAATTGCAGGTTCAAGTGCTCCCCAGCTGCACTTTAGCTATTATAGGACTCTGATTAGTCACAAGCATTCCTTCGATGGCAGTCAACTATGAATGTTTCACCCTATTTGAAAAAGGGCTGCTCAACTCTGCTGGCAACAGAAGACACTTTAAAAGATGGATCTTGCTCTCCTGCTATCTGGCCTTTCTCATCCAATTATTTGTGATCCATACACAATAACTTTGATCATTTGTTTCTGAATCTTGGAGTACAGCTGCAATTGTTATTTACATATGGTGAAAAAAATCACTAC